TTGACCTGACCTGTGACGTCATCGGTGACCCCGAGGTCAATGAAATTTGGTTTTCCTCGACAAATTTGACAGGCCTTTCGAACGCCGTTTGAATTTTGCGGATCCGTCCAGTAGTTTCGGAGATACGAGGGGGGGCAAAAAATAGCCCCCCCCCCACCAGGTCGCGTTATAAACAGACCCCACCAGGGCGCGGGTTAAGTTGCAAATGTTGCGTTTGTACCTGCGACTTGCGCATTGTGCTTCCTAAAGCTTTTATCACGTAAATATTGAAGAACGATGTTAGTGGTAACGATAAATCTACTCAAATTTAGCATACAATGCATACTTACTGCACACTGCTTGCTTGAATGATTTAACGGTACATCACCTTGTATACAGTATCACGGAACAAGCCAGATTCTTTTAAGACCGGGGTCTATGTTATAAGCCTTCAAACACATCTCGGGGAACCAGGGGTCGCGATCCCGTGCCATTTTTAACATAAACAGGTCGAATAGCAGTGCCCAGCATTAGGTCATTTTCATATTAGAGCACTGCGCAATGCCGGGGCTGTGAGCGACAAATGTTAACATTTTATAGACGGTTTGCTGACATAACGTGAAATACGCTTGGAACTGTGATACAATGCATAAGTTTCTACGCTATGTCGGTAGCAGGCCTTTGATGTTGGTCAAGACTGCCCAAACTTAAGTATGAGAGGGTTTTAATTAGCAGGAAATAACAGGATCAGGGAACAGACGGACATTTTGCATAACAAATTGCAAGTCACATGTTTCTGTTTAGTTTAAACGAACTGCGCATCCCGGAGAAGCAACTGGAAATGACGAAAGCATAGGCACTTTCCAAGCTTCTTCCGAATAGGGCAAATCAGATAATACTGATGGCGGCAAGGCGGCTGCAAAGGCCAGACGACACCAGGCAGCAGCTGAATAAATAAATGCAGCGATAACCCAGCACTGTGCAGTGCTGAACTGCACAGCTTCCAGTGGTGTTGGACATAGCATACGGTATACCAACCTCGACAAGTGTCGCGCTTTGGTACATATCTACCGATATTTGTATATACGATATTGACGATGGTATATACGATATTTGCATCTATATCCGCGTTGGTAACTTATTGCCCAATGTCATCTAACAGTTTCCGGGAATGTCAAGATCGTATGACCGTGAACGTAAATGCGTAGAAACTATAACAAATGAGGCATGAGCTGAAGGTGACGATCCCCCATTAGCAGTGGGTTCCCACGCCCCTCTCACGGCCGGCAGCGCCTCCACGCTACCGAATTCTATTCATAACAGATGGGTAGAATATGTAGGCACTTCATCCTTATAATCGGGGATACGTCGAGACTACAGAAACCGGTTTCAGCCAACTGATTCAGGTAATTACTGGCTCGCTCTTAAGTAATTGCATGCCACGCTCATCAACAAAATAAGAAGGGAACTTTAGCACCATGAAGTTTATATGGTTAGTAATATTTGTTTGTAGAATGCACAGTTACCTGTACCGCTAGTTATTTAAAGCACAATGATAGAGCGAGTTCAACTTATGGCTTATCACATGACCACTTTTCCTCCCAGTAGTTATCAGTGCGCTGTACCCGCTTCGTTCAAAATCACAACCTCGAGAACCAGATAAACAGCATGGCAGGATGGTAAGGAGGTCAACAACTCACACGAGCACCAAGCGTCATAGTGTCAGGATATTTAATAGCGCCCTCCAAAGTATGCATGTCGCACATGCCATCCTCCAAGGTATCGCTAGTCTGAAATAAACTAAGAGGATAGGATAAACAGATACGATTTCATCCATGCAAAAGGACTTACAGGTATCTCTACATACACAATCGGGCGGATTCTCTGGAGAAATACCCTCAGGCTTCATCACAGGCTAACGGACGAAGGAGCACAGCAAGCCAAACACCCTGTTCACCCTGACCTTCCTTACACAACTGATGACCGTTCCAGAGGTGAGCTCGACTCTAAAAGGAACTCTGCATGGGACCTGACGTGACTCTCCGTCGCACCTGAAGATGCCAGGTAGGTATCTTTGCGCCTCTGCAACCCTCCCCTCTCTTCTCGATCTTACCGCTTAGACTATCTCCTCAAGAACCCGATCCTTCACTGTCAATCTCAACATTACATGACATATCATCGATCGATCTACCCCAAGTCGCATACGTCAAAGACGAGTCTCACCTGTGCAGACGAATCCGAATCGCTCTCCGGTTCCTGCACCGTCTCTGGAACACTGGGTCGCTGCGACCACAGGCGCTCAGGCGTCTCGAAATCACTGACTCTCGGCGACCACCGGCCGTCTGCCGTTTCGGGCACGCTCGGTCGCTGCGACCACCGCCCCTCAGTCCTGTCAGGAGTGCTGGGTCTGTGCATCCTCCTATGACTCGCCAGCCGCTGGTAGTGCCGACTGAGTATATGTTCTCTTCGGGAGCGAGTCCACGTGCTCTGCTCGACCGTCTCACCCATCACACAGAGCGCCAACACCGACAACCAAGCCCAGCGCGCCATCGCGAACGACTGTCCGCCGGCCGGCCACGAGATGTGCTCGCTCAGTGGCCGAGTGGAGGGCAGGCGGACCGGCCGAGCGCCATCTAGTGGGGGTGTGGGAAACACCGGGTGACCCCCTCGGTATACGGGGGGGGGGGGAGACAAGGGGCGGGGGTGAGTGTGACACAGGGGATGGTGAGTCAAGCATGGGTGGTACATACCGGCAAGTAGGGCGGCCCGGGCGGGGGTTCCGCAGCAAATGGTAGTAAACCGTCAGTAGCAGCGGGTAAAATCCGAAGTTGGATTTCGCGCCGACAGCCTGTTCTGTTGCAACATTAGTAGATCTTAATAGTCGATTATCGCTTTCTGAATGAAGAAAATATTTGTGTATCCCATGGAGTAACTCGGCGCGTATCAATACAATCAAATTCAGTCATAGTTTTGCAAGTGGTCGGAATCGCAATGAACACCTCCTGTTTGACCTTTTCTGGCAACACAAATATCATTCCACGCCTGTCAGTGAGAGGAATCTTATGGTGCTAAATTCCTTTTTATAAGTACCTAGTTACTACGTCACCAAAAGGGCTGCCGTAGAAAATCGACATTGCAAACATCAGTTGTGTTACATCGCTTGACATATGCAGGCTTACCGGATGCACTGAGGTCAAATCTGTCGACGATCGGCATGATACAGGAACAATTTCCAAAATGCGCTCAATACTTTCTTCGCCAAGTTTCCTAGCTTTTTAACCCGCGCCCCGCTGGGCGCTGGGCTATTCACTATTCAGCAATACGCGCCCTGTTGGGGAGCGGGGGGATTCTGCCCCCTATCTCACAATCAGTAGCGGCGGAACACCTTCAATTAAGGGGGGGGGGGGGGCACTGCCGACTTTTGGTCCGATTCTTTCCATGCAACGCCCATAGGGCTAATGTTAAATACCAAAATCAAAGGGGGGCACGGTGCCCCGGTGGCCGGTGCCCTCCCCGTTCCGCCGCCTATGCTCACAATTCTGGACCAATGGTCGTAGAAAGACGGGAAAACGGTACTCGAAAGCTCTCGACAAGAAGGACATTTGGAACCTTTTTTGCCTAAGTAGGTCAGAGGTCAGGTCAAGGTCAGGTCGAGGGTAAACAATTAAAGTTTCTACATTATCGGCTCTGGAGCAAAGTTACTGAAGAATGGACTGAGATTGATATTATAGGATTAAATTGGACTTACTCCACAAGAGAATCGTTTTCGGTCGGAGCTTTCGACATGTATTACATGTCCTCTTCAGCGAAGGTCGGTAATCGGGGCGAAAATAAAACGTTCGGGTCGAATCGAATCGCACAAGATGTCGGTGAGCTGCGCAGAGTTATTTCAGGCCGCTTGAATTATAAAATAAGCAAGCCTGAAACACGTGACGACAATAAGAGTACACTCAATGAGAAAGTCTACCAAAAAACACGAACGCATACCACACTAATAAAATCCTAAAAAATATAGAAATCAATACATACTATCTCGGTACAGAAATATAAAACGTTATACATACCTATAAATACCACAAAAGTTAGAAACTACAAAGATGCTAAAGCAGGTGGGGTACAAAAGTGTAAAGAGATGAATATAAAAAACACTATCACACGATATAAATGTTTAACACACTATAAAACTACTGGCAAACACGACGAATTATTGGCAGCCAGCGGTCTTGCAGCAGCGCACCTGAGTTTCTGTTCACATTCGCATCATTAGGCGACACCAAGACGGCCTCCCGCCGTCCCACAGTCCGGATGTACGCCGACTCGAGCAGCAGTCGCATCTGGTAGTGGCTGGCTCGATTTAGTACCTTGACCTCATCGAAGGCAGGTGAACAATCCCTGTGAGCACTGAAGGCCGATGCGTTGGCTCTCGAGCGAACAGCTCCAGTCCAGCTCTCCCGGTGTTCTCTGACTCTGGTTCCCAGCTCACGGTCTGTCTCGCCGATGTAGACCACAGGATCACCGTCAACTTGGCAGGAGCACTCGATCTTGTAGACCACGTTGCTCTCCTGCAGCTTCGGCAAGTGGTGCTTGACTTTACTGCAGAGCAATGATCCGATGGTCAGCGACGGCTTGGAGACCAGCTGGATGCCGATCTTGCTGGCTTCCCGCTTGAGCTGGTAAAAACAGGAGCCAGCGAACGGGACTGACACTCTGACAGGCGCAGCTGGTGAGGTCGAGCTTGGTGGTGACGGTAGAGCCCTGGCCTTCAGTCTGAGATCCGCTTGCGCTTTCTGGATGGTGGACTCGATGAATGGGAGCGGGTAGCCATGCTGACGGAACTTGCGGCGTATAAAGTCGAGGCGTATAAAGTCGTAACGATTCTCTTGTGGAGTAAGTCCAATTTAATCCTATAATATCTATTTGCTCTCCACACTAACATGTCTCTAAGGACTGAGATTGATTACCCAAAACGTGGTCTTACGCTACCAAGACAAGGTGCGTTGCATACTGTCACCGTTAGCCGTTAAAAAATATGAAACTTAATGCCGCAAATGCACTTTCGAAATCAATGTTTATTTTGGTACAGGCTTGATCCACTTCGCTCCTTGATCGAAATGAAAAACACCGTTCCAAAAGTCGCACATTGCGGCTAACGAGAGAAAATAAACTAAGAAATAAGTTGAAACATAAAGATAAAGCTTTCTTGAATGTCACTTTGACACTTGTTAATCAGTGAATGCATCGTCCTTGGCTTTGCATATTTACTTTCACTGTTTCAGAATGAGCTATAATAATGACCCCGTTTCAATCAGTTTCTCATCCAAAAGCCCCCTTTTCCTTAATTTTCTAAGCACAAAAATATGACAACAATTTCGTTGCTAGGCAACAAACGCACAGTACCCCCCGGTCGCGACATCCTCCCCCACCAGTGTTCACAAGGGGGAACACGAAACATGTCACTCGCGATACAGGCCACACGTTCCTGACACCCCTCGGTGTCTTTCACTCTGCACTTAACGACCACACCGTGTCAGCTCTGAGCACTAACGGCCCATGCCGATTCTGTCACGGCTCGCGTTGACCTTACGCAGGTCACAAATGTGGGTGCTAGCCACGCGGATCATTATCAATGTCTTCGAACACAGAACGTACCCCCTCCATCAAGATCAACATTACTTTCACGGTTCGTCTCACATGAGCATCACATATTGGGCCAGTTGGCCGTGCACCCCGTCGCACGGATTCTCCGATGATTCCGATTTAGAGGCTTAGTTGAGACTCTCCAAGAGACACAACTTCGTTGTCGGGCGAACATACGTCCCACTCTTTGTCTTCACTTCCGCTGATCTGACTCCTCCGTCAGAGCCTGGGTAGACTCTTGTGATGCGTCCCAATTCCCAGTATCCTCTAGGACTCTGACTGTTGACGACCAAAACTACGTCGTCTATCTGCAGATTCTTCTTCTCTGTCTTCCATTTCTGTCTGTTTATCAGCGTAGGAAGGTACTCCTTGAGCCACCTTTTCCACAGATGTTCAGCGAGGATCTGTACTTGTTGCCATCTCCTCCGTCCAACAACATCAGCATCAGCATCATTGAATACCCCTGGCGGTAGTCCTTCTCTTCCATCAGATGAGCCCAACAAGAAGTGGTTGGGCGTAAGAGGTTCGGGGTCTTGAGGATCACTGCTAATGTAGGTCAGAGGACGGCCGTTGATCATGAATTCGACCTCCGCTAGGGTCGTCTGAAGAACGTCCTCCGAGACGCATTTGTTTCCTAGAACCACTTTGAGGGAGCGCTTCACCGAGGCGATCAGACGCTCCCATGCACCGCCCATATGCGGGGCGGCTGGCGGGATGAACACCCACTGGATGTTTCTCTGACTCAAAGCATCGGATATCTGTGCCTGATTCCAATGTTCGATGGCTTCTCGCAGTTCTCTTTCGCCTCCGACTAGATTAGTGCCATTGTCCGAGTAGATAGTTCGAGGTCTACCTCTTCGTGCGATAAAGCGGCGCAGTGCCATGATGAAGCTACTGGTGTCCATCAAAGCAGCTAGCTCCAAATGGATGGCCCGAGTGGCGAGACATGTGATCAGCAGCACATATCTCTTTTCTGTCTTTCGAAACTTCTTCACCGTCAGAGGTCCGAAAAAGTCGAGTCCGACTGTGCTGAACGGACGTCTCATGTCTAGACGGGCCTCTGGCAAGTCTGCCATCCTGGGTGGCTGAGGCGAGGCGCGGCGGTTACGGCAGAATGCACACTTCCACAGGTGCTTCTTCACAGCTGACCGCATCCGTTGCACCCAGTACTTCGATCTCAGCTCACAAAGTGTTCTTTCCAATCCCCAATGCATGACTCGCTGATGTGCATCGACAATGACCAGTCTGGTGATCTCACTCTTGGCGTCAAGAATGACGGGGTGTTTCGTGTACTCGTCTAACGAAGTCTTGCTCAGGCGCCCACCAACTCTCATGAGGCCGTGTTGATCTCGGAATGGAGACAGGTGGTCGAGACTAGCTTGTTTCATGCAGGTTTCTTGATCGTCCTTTATTATGCTGATTTCAGCCGCATCAATTTCTGCGCTGCGTAGTGGACCATCAATGACTTCTGTGCCAGCAACCTTGCTCTTCACGTTGCTGATGAATCGCCTTATCCATGCGACAATGCGTCTGTAACGAGTCCATGAAGAGAACCGCGCCGGGTCTATGAGCTGGGACAGTAGAGAAGTGATCTCTTCTTTTGGTGAACTAGCATGACTTGTCGCACAGATGGCTGCTGACCTCTTGACTTCTACACAGTCTGGACTGATGTCTCCTACGTCTTCTTGTGGTGGCCAGTGCTCTTCTTTGCTTTCTAGAAACGCTGGGCCTAGCCACCACTCTTGCTGGTTTTTCAACTCTGACCAGAGACTTTCCTCTTGAGCAGAGATCTGCCGGATTTTCTGAGCCTGGCACGAAGCGCCACTGATCTGGGCTTGTCGTGTCGTGAATCTCAGATACACGATTCGCCACAAATGTGTGGTATCGCCGACTTTCGTTCTTCAAAAACTGCAGCACCACTTGACTGTCTGTCCAGAAGACGATTCGCTTGAAGTTGTAGTTCATTTCCCTTTTGATAAGACTGGCTACTCTTGTTGACATGACGGCACCTTGCAGCTCAAGTCGGACTATCGACAGCTGTCGCAGAGGTGCGAGCCTAGTGCGAGCCATCACAAAGCGACTGTGATAGTAGCCGCTGGACAATACTCTGATGTATGCTACGGTACCGAACGCTAATTCGGAGGCGTCGCTGAACATGTGCAGCTCGTACTGAGCGTCAACTTCTTGTTCCGGCGCGCCATACCACCGTGGAACACATGCGTCCTCAACCTGCTGAAGCTCTTCTTGCCAGCGTCTCCAGATATGTAGGGTTTCTCCTGTGATTCCTTCATCCCAGCCTAGCTTTCTTTCCCAGAGACTCTTGATCAGTTTCTTCGCCACTAGTGTGTAGGGCGCCACGATCCCTAAAGGATCAAACATAGACGCGACTTGCTTCAGGATTCCTCTCTTCGTCGGCGGCACCGCGACTACGCTACACTTGACGGCCAGGTAGTCGTCCTGCGGGGTCCATTTGCATCCTAAAACGCTGCAGTACGACTTGCCCGACGAGTCTATCTTCAAGACAGCTCTTTCATCAACCGGGACTTCAGCCAGCACCCTCTCCTCATTGCTCATCCACTTCGTGAGGCAAAACCCTCCTTTGGCGAGGATGCTGGAGACTTCTCTTTTCATATTGAGTGCAGCTTCACTGGAACATTCTGACTTGACGAAGTCATCCATGTAAAAGCTGGTCTGAACCGCTTTCTTGGCTGCTGTGGACTCTTCTGTGCCAGTGCAGCCGTCTTCTGCCGCTCTCTGTAGTACAAAATTTGCGATCGCTGGGCTGCACTTCGCGCCAAATATTGCTACTTGCATTTGGTACATATCAGGCTGTCGTGTGGTGTCAAGGTTTCGCCACCAGAAACTTAATGCTGGCTGGTCTTCCTGGCGAATCCTGATCTGGTGGAACATCTTCTTGATGTCTGCTACCATGGCAGTCTGTTCCTCTCTGAAGCGGAGCAAAATTCCAACCAGATTCTGCAGCATGTCCGGTCCCTTCATCAGCTCACTGTTCAGGGACACTCCCAGGTGTGTCGCTGCAGCATCAAAGACTACCCTCAGCTTGGGTTTATTGGGGTTTACTACCGCGTGATGTGGTAGAAGCCAGCGCCTTTTCAAACGCTGATCGGCTTCTTCTTGAGACAGCTTGCGTGCGTGCCCCGCTTCAACATAAGCTTGGAGCTCGGCTTCATACGCCTTAGCCTTTTCCGGGTTACGTAACAAGCCTTTCTCAAGGCTCTGAAGTCTTCTCATGGCTGATGCTCTGTTGTCAGGCATTCTCTGATCTTTGCCTTTCCAAAGAAGTCCTGCTTCGTATCGGTCTCCGCATTTCTTCACTGATGTATCTAGGAGACGCAATGCCCGCAGGTCTTCTGCTGAAGCTTCCCCTTTGAGCTCAACTTTCGTGCCAAATGAATCAGTCTTCCACCACTCTTCGACACACTCTCCGAGATGCCTGTCTTCTGTGTCCGCACGGTGGATGAACATCACCTCTCTGGTTTGAGGTGGGACGAAACCAGCGATCGTGCCGGTCAACGTCCAGCCAAATGCCGTGCGCACCGCCACCGGTTCTCCTGCTCGTCCAACTTTGGCTTCGCGTTGAAGAACGGCTTCAAGGACATTAGCGCCTAGAAGCACCTCCACTGTTCCCTGTGAGCAGTCAGGTATGTTTATGCCTTGTAGATGCTTCCAGTCATCTTTCAATCGTTTAGGAATGTGCTGTGCTCGGACGTTTACTCGCGGCACAGAGAACGCTTCAGGAACAAGGATCTTGCGGTCAACATCTTGACCTTCGCACAAAGGACTCAGAGTCAGCTGGACCCTTTCAGACCTCTTGGTACTTCCTCGTCCTTCAACATTTTCGATGCATAGCGACTGCGCTTCGCCTGAAATCTTCACATCTCTGATGATTGCTTCCGAGCATAAGCTGGTCTGAGATCCTGGATCTAGCAGGGCCAGCGTGTCTCTAAATCTTCCATCTTGGCCGTGCACTCGAACGGGAACTATCTGGAGAAGCGTCATTCCCTCTGCTGGTCGGTTTCCCGTTACTGCGGCTATGACTCTCTGGTCACCACCGTGAGGCCTTACACGGTGACTGCCGTGCAGCATCTTGTGGTGTTTCATCCTGCACCCGTCTATTCCACACTTCTTAGAAAAGACACAATTTCTGCTCATGTGGCCTTTCTTTAAGCAGATGAAGCACATTCCTGAGCTGAACACTAGCTCAGCTCGGCCATTGGCGTCTCGCGCTCTGAATGCTTCGCAGTCCTTCAAATGATGCTTCCCGCTGCAACACACACAAGTGTCAGAATCGAGTGAGGCTGTAGTGTTTGTAGCCAGTGTCGCCAGTGTCTTTTCTTTTGTCTTTTGATGTTGTTGCTCCAGTTGCTGGTCTGGACTGCCAGGCGCGTTTTTTGACTTGATCAGTGTCTTGAATTGTCACGGCAGTGACTTCTGAGAGATCCTCACTTGTTTTGTGAGCCACTGGTCGAAGTTGATCAATGTAGCTCGGGCCGGCTCCATTTCAACGACGTGT